ACTGAATAAAATTTTTTTGAAAGAAACCTTACAACCATTATTCTATGTTGAAACATCTTTTTTATTCTTTCAAAATTTTTATTTTATTTCGAATTGAACTAAACCACATACACGTAAGTAGAAGTGTTTCTTACATCACAGTTCATAATCAAAGCCAGAGTCCTATTCGAAGTCTTAGTCTTAGAGATAAACGACCTGCCATAAGTGAATGGTTAAAATCTTATCTTGGTCCTCAAATAGATGATCAATGCTCCCCATACAAAGGCAAATCAAGGTTCAAGTCCTCTAGCTCAAGGTGTCATGGTTTCTCTCATTCTAGATCTCTTGATATCTCACCACCAAGACATCATTATAGAAAATCATCTTCATCTTTTAACATGTCAAAATCAACTCACCTTTTGAACAAAAAGGATTGCTGTCTTATGAATCCTAAGTCTATGTCCCTTTTATTTAAATTTAATTGATCAGGCTAAGAAGCTTACCTAGTTATCTTGATTGCATTCAATTTGCAACACCCATTGAAAAGTGGGAGCGCATGCCATTTTATATGCAATTATCAATTTTCAAATATTTTTAGATTGTCGATTTAGAGTTGCAAAATAGTTTTACTTTTCTTTGACCATGGACATTAAATTCTAGTGCTTATTTAAAATAGCAAGAAACGCATATTTTTTGATGCATATGCTAAGAATATTTAAAACTTTTTTTTTTAAAAGCTTAAATTTGTTCATCCATGACAGTCTTTAGCCTTTTTGGCAAAAGACTTTTGATGGCATTAAGTAGTTGGAATGGGCAAAACAATATAACACTTACAAAATTTTTCATTGCATATAAACCATAAGCAACAAGAGTCATTTCCAAGACCTAAAAATGAACACACAACCATCAAGACACAACAAGCACTGCCTAAAAGACCAATCTTAAACATAGTCTTAAAGTTTTTGACTTTTCTTATACTTAAAAGTCAACCATACACAAATGCTACACCAAGCTTGTAACGGAGAACAATAATAGAAATAAAATTCCCCAATAAAGCCTATTGCATTTCAGTTTCATCACTTCTCAATCATGAAATCTACTTAGCCAAGAGCAAAACCATTGGTTATCAGTCCCAAGAAGCCACAAGCGATAACCATGAAGCATTATTGCTTCACAAACAACAAAACCCCCACCTGAAATGCATAAGACACACCACTACAACATCAGACCCACCTAAACCTTTAAGATCACAGTTTTCCTTTCGTTTATTGAGCTTAGCTCTCACCCCTATCCGCTGCTTTTAATGCTACAATTTTTAAGATCACGTCTTTTTTCTCATCTTGAAAACTTAATCCAAGATTCTTGCTTAATTCCTAAATTTCCCTTATATCTTTCATTAATACTATGTTCCTCATCCTAATATCAACATCTAAGACACTGCCTCCCTCAATTTGGTCCTCACTATCACACTTTAACCTCATCTCCTCGTTGACTTTTTCCTTGATCCTTTTCATTCTTTCTTAATTTTACCTTTTGATATCTAAACATGCTCTTCTTCCTCCCTATTTTCTGTCTTAGCTTACCATTCTTTTTCTCAGTTACCTGTTGCCTTTTACCTTCTAGTGAGTACTTGTCAACGAATTGTATCCTTTTCAGATTGTTTCTTAAGTTTCCATATTCCCTTTCCTTTCCAAACTCCTTCTCCTTTTCATCGCTCTCTCCCATAATTTGCAACAACCATTGAAAACCCCCCCTCTCTAACATGTTTCCTCCCTCTTCAAAGGCTCTTTTAGTGAACAATTCTTCACTGCTTGTGTCTTCAACCTATGCGTCTTTCCTTTTACCATTTCCATCTCTTTTGATATCCTTTCTCCTCTTATTACTTTCTTCTTTCACAAATCACACTTTATTAAGATCTGGCTTCTCACTCAAATTTTCTTATGCTAATTCCAATTACTAAATTCCTTTCCCTAACTTAAGTTTTGACTTGATCTCTTAAAGATATACTTTATTGAGAAAAACAACCTTCTTAGGTTTAATAAGGTTTTATCGCTTGGCCCTCTATATTTCCCAATTGAAATGAACCCACACCTAGTCTTTGAAGCCCTCTAACCTAGTTGTTTGGTCTATGCTTACCTTTCCCTTTTTAGGTCTAAGTTCCTTGTCATCTAGGCCTTTCACTCCCTTAACATGATTAAGCCTTTCTTTTAGATCTCCTTTCTCATAACTATTACCTTTTACTTTGCTCTCTAAGCCGGAATCATTGCCTTTCTTTATCTCTTGTTTAAAGTCTTTTATGTCAACATCCCACTTACACTCCTTACTTTTCAAATCACTATCATATTTTCCTTACTTCCTTACACCATCCCCTGTACCTCGAATATCTTTTTTTATCAAAACTTCTTCGCCCTTTTGTCCCTTGTCAATGCCCTTTCTTGTCACCATTGACCTACATACCTCGTTTCCAAATTGTGAACTTTTTTTTACCTCCATTGTACCTATATCAATAACTTGCCCCTTCTTTATTTTGAATTCTTCTGATCCCTCTAACATTATGATTTTACTTTCTCTTATCTCAAAGCCTTGTTTTGAAATTGTTTTATCTAGTGTTTCTCCGCCTTTCTTTTTTCACTGCCACCAATTTCTTCACCCTATCCACCACCCTAATGCTTCCTTGGTAGCTTCGATACCTCTTATACCACCTCTTTATTTGCTAAATAGCATTCTAGAGACTTATTCATTTTCTTCCCTACCACCTTGACGATATAGGAAAAAAACTTACCTTTGGCTTCTAATATCGCTCTATTGAGAATCATTAATCTACTCGTAACTTTCACCAGCATGTGTGCCATATCAAATCGTTCCCTTTTATATGTACTCTTATCAACTCCCATAAATGTTCCCTAATTCTCAACAATCGTCTTAAATGTTTAAACATGCCAAACATGGACTGGCATCTCACAAACTCTCACCCACACCTATACTTCTCTGTCAATGCTAGAACCTGAATAAGGTCTAACCATTACAAACCACCTTTGAAGAAACTCTTTTTGGTTATCCATTACCATAATCATCTCTTCTTACTGCCCAAAGGTTATCAAGAATGTAAGCTGTTCTATCACCTTTACCTTAGCATAGATTCCTTCCATGGCTAATCCCTTTTGTATCACTGAACCATCCACATGATGCTTTAAGATCTCTACAATGCTACATGAGACCCATTTCATTTCCTCATCAAGAATACAAGTGATGGTTGTCACTATTCTATTCCTTTTTTGTTAATCCTTTCTCACATCTTTAACACCTTCTTACTTTTGTGTTATCTTCTCTTTTGCATCTATCATAAACTTTGATACCTTCACACCCCCTTTTAAGGTCACATTCTCTTTCTTTTCTGCCTATTTCTCGTTGATGATAGCTCCACCCATAATCGCATCCTAATATGACCGAAAATCTCTCTGTGGTGATCTTATAGGTGGACTACCTCCTCTGTTCATCTCAATGCCCATCTTTTTCATCGATCCAGCTTTCTTGTCTAGTAACCTTATACCGCCCATCCACTAGTGATTCCCTCATTTCAAGGTCTTCTCTATCTCATTTACATCCATATACCTTACAAAAGCAAAGTTTGAACCTTTATTTTTTTTCTTGAATACGTCTCTAAGGGATGAAAATATCCTTCACCTGCCCATATTCTTTGAAAGGTCCCTTGATTGCTTCCCAAGACACCCTCTTGCTCAAATTATTAACAAACATCGTGAAAAAGCTATCCAACCACCTTCTCTCTCTAGTTTTATTCGTCATAGAGCCCTATATTTAAATAATCCTCAACTTTGAATCATGATGTGGCATGCTCATTTTGGTGCTTGAATTCTGATGAGAACTGTAGCCAAAACTTAAAAGTATTACTATTATTTACACACTTATTTATTAAGCTAACAATGGAATAAGAAAATGGGAGAAAAACATAGAGTTTTCTTTTAAACAATAGAATGATCAACATTTAAAAACACTGTAAATGTTTTCCATTGTGATTTTCAGTGTTAGTGGCCATTAAATAAGTTAACTTTGTTTCCGCGGTGCTTTCCCTTATCTTTAATTCTATACTGAAAACCAAATACAACTCTCCCTCTCTTTATTCTCCCTTTTCTATTGTGATTTCCAATGTCAGTGGCCATTAAATAAGTAAACTTTGTTTCCATCATGTTTTTCCTATCCTTCAATTCCATATTCAAAACCAAATACAACTCTCCTTCTCTTGATTCTTTCGTTTTGGGTGTTGCTTTTTTTCTCTTAATCTTTACGCTAATCTCATTCAATTTATTGTTAAGATGTTTTTGTTAATATTTTTTTGTTAAACTTAACATTTTGTCATGTAAACATTTTTGCCGCATCAATAAATGCAACATCAGCATAAATGCCAACAATTGCCATATCAGCACATAATCAACACCACATCACATTGTCAATGCCATGTCACTTCAATTAATGTCAATAAGCTTAGTCAAAATACCACATCAACATATTTAATGATGAAATTTAACGATGTTAGAATTATGGATTGAAATTAACAAAATGACAAAATACAAAGACCCAATTTACACAAAATATTGTACATGCACAAAATCATAATTTTCGTAGAGTACAAAAACTAATTACATACTTTAACCTTAAATCTAATATCAATTGACATTTTCTATTCATACAATTTAATCACATATGTTATTTTCTTTTCTTTTGTTCTTTAATCCTTCTTCAAAACGACATAGTTTTGAATAAGTTATATAATCCTTCCCATTTTTTCATGTTCCTCTCCCTATCCTTGTGTTCGTTCCCTCTCCCTTTCTTTCTTTGGATATCTAGAATTTGACCATTGTCATCGGCTATTAATCTCCTTTTCTTTCTTTAGGATCGACTTAAAATTTGGCCATTGCCAGCGGCTATTGCTAGCAGTCAACGATGGGCAAGCGATAATAGAGGTTTGCCGGAAAATTCAATTATGCCTTCAAGGCCTCTTTTCAATAAGTGTCCCTTTTAGGACTAAAAATCACCAAACTAAAAGGGACCATGCTAGCAGTAGACCAATTATGCCTTTCAGGCCAGCTTTCAAGAAATGACAATAGGCAGCAGTGCCCTTGCCATTACAAACTACTAGAATATGACCAATGCATTGCACACGGGCGTCTTTGCATCCCCGCTCTTGCTCTCTCTTTGCTTCAACATCTTTTCTCTCTCTCTCTCTGCCTTAAAATAGAAGTGTAATGTGCACCAATCGTCAGTGGATATCTATCTATCTCTCTCTTTCTCCTAGGTTGAGCTTTTGTTTACAAAAGTTTTTCCTTCTGTTCAAAAAGAGAGAAAATCTGAGACCAACTCCATTTGTTTTTGCTCTCATTTTTTTTTTTTGTATTAAAAAAGACCCAAACAACCGTTTAGTGAGGATTTGTTGTAAATTCATCTTCTTCTTCTGTTTGTTATTCAGATTTGTTACCAACCCTTTTTTTCTTTCTTTCTATTTCCACTATTGCACTCTAATAGGATTGTTTAAGAGCCTTCTTTATTTTTAAGTTTTACTCACACTTGAGCAATTTGGGATTTCTTTTGAAAACTTGTTGGAGCATTAAAACCCCCTTCTTGAAGCCTCATGAGGAAGCCCCAAGTATGTTATAGATTATTCAAGGCAACTGATCAACTCATCAAATTTGTGCACTAGACACTGCCAAATTCCTGTGCTTGCCTAATTAAGCATCCTAATACTTCATAAATTTCTTCAACTTGATTGTGTGACTTATCTCCACACACAAAACAACATATGTGTTTGTTTTCCGCTACGTAACTCCACCCTGGTTGCTTCTTCAAATCCTTCTCAAACATAGCTCTTCTAACTTCTTCAACTTCAGCCCACTGTCCAGTACTAGCCTGTACGTTGCTGAGCAGTGCGTGATACCCAACATTGTCAGATTCAAGTTCCAAAAGCCGCTGCGCAGCATATTCCCCAAGCTTTTTGTGTCCATGAACTCTAGAGCCAGCGAGAAGAGCACCCCAAATCCGGCTGTCAGGGAAAGCCAACATCTTCATGATTGTTGCCAAGGCCTCTTTGAGTTTTCCAGCTCGCCCCAAAAGATCAACCATGCAAGTGTAATGATCCAAATCAGGTTCAATGCTGAACCTCCATTTCATGGAATAAAAGACGTAGCAGCCTTCACTCACAAGGCCAGAGTGGCTACAAGCAGCTAGCAAACTCAAGAAAGTTACACAATTTGGTGTTGCTCCTTCCCCCACCATTTGGTCAAAAAGTTTCAGGGCATCGGACCAAGTCCATGAATCCCATAGCCCTCAATCATTGATGTCCAAGCCACTATATCTTTCACCAACATTCTATTAAAACACGCTCTGGCAGACGAGATGCTTCCAAATCTAATGTACATGTTTAAGATAGAGGTTTCTAATTCTAAGTATGTCCCCCTTTCTCAGACTATGAAACATGTTCTTTATAGAATAGCCATGAATTCTTTACCCACTTCTAAGCACCTACATGGGTACACGCGTGAACTATGTTTCCCAGAAATCTCAGGCATGGGTGAAGACCTGCAGCTTGCATTTCCTTGAATAATACAATGGCCTCCTTGAAAAATCCATTTTGAATGTAACCTGACAGCATTGCACTCCATGCAATGCTATTTCTACTTGAGATTCCTTTAAAAAGTTGAATCGAGTTTTTTAACAACCCACACTTTGCATAGAAGTCCAACAAAGATGTCTGCAAAACATCATCGTGTAAACCCAATTTTAGAGCACAACAGTGTAATATTTCACCTTGTGATAGATTCCCAGACTTTGCAAACGCTGATATGACAAGGGTTAGTGTCTCAATGCTGACCTTTACCTCAACCTGCATTTTACAGAACCTGTCTGCTACTTCTCCAACATCTCCCCTTAGTGAATAGTAGGAAATCAAAGTATTCCAGGAAACTATATCCCTCAGAAAAATTTCACTAAAAAATGTCTCAACTTCTTCAACAGAACCCATTGTTGTGTACATCTTCAAAACAGAATTTAGTACAGATCCATCAGCCAATACCCCACTCTTGATCACATATCCATGCGTTTGCTTCCCACCAATAAAACTTCCCCATCTAGAGCAACCCTGCAACAAGACAATCACAGTCACTGCATTGGGTTCCATTTCCAGCCTCATTTTCTTAAACAATGTAAAAGCCTCAACAACGTTTCCCTCAGAAAAACACCCAGAAATCATAGACGTCCAAGTAACCAAATCTCTCTCAAACATTTCATCGAACACCTTATAAGCATTAGTAAAACACCCACATTTTCTATAGACCTCAACCATTGTATTCCCAAAATACAAATCAAATCCAAAACCCATTTTCACAGCAACGCAATGAATAAGTTTTGCAAATTCTGCATCAGCATTAATCAACAGAACCGCTCTATTAATTACTGGAAACGTAAAACGATCATGCTTTACCCCCTCTTTTCTCATCTTTCTATACAAGAATAAAGCCTTTTCGATGTAGCCAAAATCAACATGGGATTTTATTATCAGATTCCATGTTATTGTATCAGCTTGTTTCAAAGACTTGACAACCAAAACAGCGGTTTCAAGATCATTGAAATGGGCATATAAAGATATTAGCCTTGAGGCCCAGGAAGTGGGGAGAAAGTTCCCAATTGAGAGAATTAAAGAAGCATGGAGTTGTTTTAATGTTCTGAGGTTTTTGCATGAATTTAGAAGTGAAGGAGAAGGGGAGAGTAGGTGGGTGAGATTGAGAGCAGAGAAGGGTTTCAGGTGATGGCATCGAACAAGAAAAGGAAGATTGGAGAGAAGAGAAGAGGTGGGTAAACGTTGGAGGACATGAAAACGGGAAGTAATTTTTGGTTACTTTGAAAAGCCTTGAGAAAACTTAGGGGACCAATAGGCTAGTTATGATAACGATTTGCGTAGGATCACGGGTTAGTGCTTTCAAGACTTCGAATGTATATGGTTTTGTGTATGCGGAAGGTTTCATGGGTATAGACTCACGATGCAGAGGCAGATGGAAGAACAAGAGAGTATGTTTTTGGAATTCTAGAGCTTTATTGACCTGTGAGCATCAGAGGAATTACAACACTTGGAAAGCGAGCTTCTTGAAAAGCTTAGCTGAACATTATCCTTACAGTAATACACAAAGAACCGATGATTACGAAGAATTTTTTGACCAAGTTGGGGTTTGCTAATATGAGCCTTCCTCCTCCGTTGCAGCTGATGAGGTTACAAGTTCAGAGCTAAAGTCCTTTTAATCTTGGGGGTGAACCCCTAGTACAAACATCTTCATGTGTTTCCCACAAACAATTTGTACACTACGAATCAATCACCAAAAATGACTATAACATTCATGGTATAAACAAGTCTTATCTATTTATTTTTTTAAAATCAACTTCTGCCCTTTGGCTGCAGATCATTAGCGTAATTCACAATTAGCATTGACACATCCAAAACCAAAAGAGAAATGACTCAGTCCACCTCAACAAATGAAGTGCAGTCTACGTCCCGAAGGGTGATTTTACCCATGTATAAATCATTTATGTGATCAGCACAGAGTGGCAGGCATTTCCGATTCAAGCTTTCATGAATAGCACCCATACCCCTCACCCACTGTGCTTCATCCAGGGGATTCAAATTTAGATGATTTTGCAGTAACCTAACTCTGTACATGGTTGTATCGATCCTGTCACAAAAATGAGCAACACAAGAATATGATGGCTCATCAGAAGCCAATCTGATCAAAGCCAAAGATATAGCCCCATCCACAGGTTTTGGATCCGAAAGATTTTTGTCACCCCTCATCTTAACATCCCTCTCTGCTGGGAAGTGAACTTCTTCATTTCCATTCATATCAGAGACTTTCAAATCTTTACTGTAATGTTTAATTGCTTCGTGTTTGGTGGATTCATGCTTGTGTGCCAATGTCAAAATACAAGAGAACCTCAGGTGATAAGAAACAACTGTTTTCACCATTTTGAAGTTGTGACAGCAGCAGAAGAAATCAAGCCATCTTCTCCCAACACCAGCGTAACACTTAATAATATCAGTATCTTCCAATGCAAATAGTAAGCTAACTGGCCTGGGGCGACCCATGTTATTTGTAAAACCAGCCATTCTAACAGCCTTCCTAACCAGTTCTATAGGTGCAGACACTTTCATACACAGCTTGGTCAGATCGTCTACTGTGTGCTCAGCATATTTCTGCTCCTCTTCTTCTATTACTCTCCTTTCTTCCTCCTCCAAAGCGTTTCTAGCTTTGATAGGTGTCAAATGCTTGTCAACTTGTTCTTGGAATTTGTCATAAGCATCAACAAGATCTTGTGGCAACTGATGTCTAATATGTCTTAAAGATAAAAAATCACCTCTAGAGAGCAGTCGATGCCAGTTCCATCGTCCTTCCAAGGATTGCAAAAACTCTTGGACTACTTCATCTGCCCAAGTCCTAAATATTTCTCTGACTTCATTCTCAATTTGAAATTCAAATTTAAACCCATTATTACTCTGCTTCAACTTCTTAAAGACATGACTCAATATTTTCATACCCAATTTTTTCCTATTCCTCTCCCGAGCATTCCTCAATTCTAATGCTCTAACTTCCTTCTGTCTACGATACTTCTTCCTTGCTCTAATTGCCTTTTCTGACATAGGGGGATGCAAAACAGAAGGAGGAACAGCCTGCAGTTCCATCCCCAAAAAATTTATCTTCTCTGATACTGCACTATGGATAGCCGTTTTAACTCTATCCACCTTCAAACCCAAATTCCCTTCCAAAAAATCCAAAACCTGGTTCTTCAACTCCTTTATGAACATCTTCGACCCGGATGTAATTACCAATATCTCATCCAAGTACCTAACGGCATACATTTTCTCCGGATTATAGAAAACATTTGAATTATTGAAACCAAGCTCATTCAAGTCAAATTTAGTATTCTTCCTACCCATTTGAAGCCTCATCTCTTGAACTTCTCTATCAAACCCATCAAAATAAACATTAATCAAAATCGAACACAGCCCGCATTCTTGAGGAAACCCTCTCCCTAAATAACACCCTCCCAATTCAATTCTAACTACTTGACATTCAAACAACTTCTTTATCACATTAATCAACATAGCATCCTTAACTTTCTTACCAATAAACAAACACAACTTATCAACATTAAACTCATCGAACTTGTTAGTACAAAAAGAAACATTAAACCACCAACTTGGGTTTGTTACATTGTTCTTGAAGTACCTAACGGCAGTATGTCTGCCCATTCCAACACGTCCGCCATAAGAAAACGTCACAAACTTTTCATCATAAACAATTTCGAGTACCATCCTAATAGCTTCAATCAAAACTTTTAGTTTCAAATTTGGTAAAAACAAAGGCTCACCTGACGGACTTGGTGGGGCCACTTTGACACAGCAAGAGGAAATATCGAACTTGTTTTGGAAGATTTCATGACCCATTTGGTCAATGGAGAAGTGGTTGGAAACAGAGGCAAGAAGCGATGTTTTTGTTGTGGAAGGGGGGGAGTTGGAGAGGTTTTGGCAGGCGGTGAGAAGAACAGAGGGTAAAGCGATGACGTTCTGAAGGAGATTGGAGAAGGTTCCATGAGAGTAGTGGTTGAGAACCAAGCTTCTGAGGTTGGCCTTTGTTAAAGGTTGGGTTGAGAATGGTTTCAAGGGAATTGAAAAAGGATGATTAGGGCTGCTGATTGTCTTGAGGGTCCGAAGCATTGCAAAAGGCAAATTGAGAAACAGAGAGAGCACCAGCACAAAGCATAAGACCTTCCCAGCCTTCGGAGATCAACTGTTGATTGTTGAACCATATCAAATTTTTTTAAAATAAATAGAACCATATAAGTTAAAATGGAAATAAAATAAAAATAATAATCGGGCTTAGAGATGTTCAATGACCGGATCCCGCCTCGCAAGCCCAAAGGCCCAATCTAACTTGATCCGGGCGTTGTTTTAGATTTTAAAGCGCATCTTGTAAGTATTATTATTATTATATCAATGTTTTTTTTATATATTATTATATTAATATTATGAACAAAGGTATGGATACTTATTATATTATGATTCAAAAAGTATAAATCAAGTCAAACAGCTTAATAGGTAAAATAGAAGAAAGGTAATATGATCCGAACTCTTAAATAGAATTTTATTAGGATTATAATTCAAGGGGTTACTAGTTTATAAATAACCCCACATTTCGTTTATAAAGATACACTTAAATAAGATGTTTTTACTTTCTTTAAATACTTTTTTTTATATTTTTCTTATAGTTGTTCTTTTAAAATTTATATCATAACACGTTATTAGCATGATCCTCTCTGATCTCTCAAATTTTAGAATTATTTTATTTTTATCATATTCAAGCTTCAAAAAGATTTTAACGATTGGTTTTTTATTTCTGATTTTAGTACATTATTATATATTATATTTTATCACTTAATTGGAAAGTGAATTTGCTGTTACATAGCTATCAATGAAAATTCATGAATGCTTATTCCTTGAAGTAAATGTGACAAGCGAGCTACTAATAAAAAATTATAAATTCATCAATTTTCTAAAATGAATGCAATGTCATTTAATAATTATGATCATAATCATGAATCCATCCATTCTCTGAAATAAATGTAACATCATTTAATAATTATGATCATGGAAGAAGTTTTTTTAATTCTAAACATGATTTTACCACCAAAAGTGAATCGATAATTTTGTTAGCAGAAGAAGAGAGATAATTTTACTATCAAAAATAGATAGATAATTTTATCATCAGAGATGGATGGATACCTTAAACTACTAACCCACCAGAAGTGGATGAATACTTGTAACCCACCATAGTTGGATGAATAGAATATAGAAAATGTATTGTCATTAATATGACATAAAAGACCATTGGTCACATACTTATTGTACATTTTGAATTTTATCAAACATCACTGAAAATTAAAACATCTTGTGATGATTTTAATCATGGCTAAGTTGATATAGCACACCAAGGTATTTGTCCATCCTAAAAGAAAAATTGATTATATGATTGCTAATGAAAATATCCATTGTTGAGTTTCTTATCCTGAAAAAGGATAACTTGCAAGTTTCTTATTATATATGCTTTTTGTTTTTTGAAGAACAATATGGATATTCATATTGTTTAATCCAATATCTATAATGTAAATATATGTCTAGTAGACATTGCTATAACGCACATTATATTTAAATATAAGAAATCTTTTTTCTACTTGACAACGAAAAAAAAGCTAATATCAATACAATATCTAGTAGTACAAGATTAATTGAAAACTCCGAAAGAACTAATATTTTACTACCGTGAGGAATAAAGTTTTAAATAAATGATGAATTATTAAGTCTAAAAAAAGTTTAGTCAGTTTTAACTATATTCGTCTGAATAGATATCATATTAAGAGAAAGCATGAAAGAGACACATAATACCTCTATATTATATTTATTATCTCAAGTAAGAAGTATGTGTTGGAAAGAGAATTACTCATTTTTTTCTCTAGATTAAACGATACAAATATTAGAATAATTAAAACTCATAGTAAACTAAAAGTTTACTAATGATTTTAATGCTTAGTATGACCAGTTGACCATCCCGGATCAATAATGATGTAAAAAATCATTAAAAATTAATATAATCATTCATTGAAAAATTAGAAGATTTTTCAATCTAATTAAATACTCATGTGTTTCTTACTCTCAAGGCAAATAAATTATAAAGCTATTATCGATTAAAGTTAGGATTGAATTCTATACATTTTTGAAACATATTTAGGGTTATATGTGGATTCATGCATCTACCATGTGACCCATTTAGATTTTTTACGGTTTTAATCGATATATCAATTAAATGGTCAATGTGTAATTATTATCAACTTGAAATTTCATATTTGCAAGATTAAACACCCAAATCATTTGTTTGGAAGTATATTTTTTTGATTATGTAATTAAGACAATTCGTCTTGATAATGCTAATGAATTTACAGCTTAAGCTTTTAATATTATATATTAGTTGGAATAACTGTTGAAAAATATGTTGCTTATGTTTATACACAAAACGATTTAGTATAATCGTTTATTAAACACTTTCAATTAATTACAAGGTCATTACTTATGAAATTTAAACTCTCAATTTCTATACGGGGGCTTGCTATTTTGAATGCAACAACACTTGTATGCATCATACCAAATGAGTTATTATAAATTCTCTTTTATACAATTGGTTTATGGTCAGAACCAAATATTTCTCATCTAAGAATTTTTGGGTATGTGGTATATGTTTCCCTTGCTCCACCACAACGCACAAAGATGGGCCTTTAAAAGAAGTTAGGAATATATGTTGGATACAAATCTCTATTTGTAATTAAGTATTTAAAATTATTAATAAGAGATTTATTCATGGCAAAGTTTGTCAATTATCATTTTGATAAAATAGTTTTTTCAACATTAGGGAGAGAAAATAAGTAGTTGAAAAAAATTTTTTTTTCTTGGAATATATTATTATTATTATCTAATTTAATCCTCATACAAATCAACGTGAATTTGAAGCTCCAAAGAAAATTCATTTGTTAAATATAGCAAATTAATAGCCAACATATTTACATACCTAAAGAGAATAATAAAATCTTATATAACAGTTGCAAATGTTCTTATTAGAATTAATGTCCTTGTACGACAAAACATGTCAAAATTGTAGGAGACCAATCGGTTATAAAAATAAAATCTTTGAAAAAAAAAAGAAACAAATATTCAAGATGGTCAAAAAGATGAAATAGACACTCTAAAAGTGATCTTTAACATAATTGATAAAAATTTCAAAAGAAATTTAGGTACCTAAAATAATTGAAAATAAAGAAATCTCAATCAATTATATCATTATGGAAAAAGATGGAATCAGAATGAAATAAACGTTGACAATATTTTTATATATAATATAACGCTTCGTATTATAAAAAAAACGAGACTTTCGAACTTATATTAATTAAAGAATGTACATAAAGAAATGATTAGCCAATGAGGAAAGAAGTAATTAAGGAGGAATTTAATTTACTTGCAAAACATGAAGTTTTTGAACTTGTGGTCTGTACACCAAATTGTGTAAAACCAATGAGATATAACTGGGTATTTGTGCAAAAATTGAAATGAGTAAGATAAGATTGTGAAATATACTCAAAAACTTGGTATTGATTATGAAGAAACATATTCTCTTACAGTGGATGCAACTACATTTTGATATTCAATTAGTTTGACAATATATGAAAAGCTTAAAATGCATATGATGAACGTAGTTACAGTTTATTTATACGACTCACTTGATAATGATATCTATATGAAAATCTCTAAATGATTTAAGTTGCCTAAAACATAAAATTTGAATTTTGAAAAATTTATTTGATTAAATTAAATAAATCTTTTTATGAATAAAGCAATCTAGACACATGTAGTATTATCATCTTAGTGAATATTTATTGAAAAAAAAACTATAGAAATAATCCTACATGCTCATGTATTTTATAAAAGGATTTAGATATGAATTTATCATAATTGTTATTTATGTTGATGAATTGAACATTATTGGAACTCTTAGAGAGTCATCAAAAACTGTGGATTACTTAAAAAGAGAATTTGATATGAAAGACATTGAGAAATAAGGTTTTGTTTAAGTCTTTAGATTAAATACTTGACAACTGAAATTTCATCCATCAATCAAATTATATAGCAAAAGTACTAAAACAATTCTATATGGACAAAACATATCCATTGAGTTCACCAAGGGTTGTAAGGTCACTAAATGTAAAAAAGAGACTTTTTCCAATCTCGTGAGAATAATGAAGAATTTCTGAGTCTTGAAGTACTTTATCTTATTACAATTGAAGCACCAATGTATTTTGCTGACAATACATAACTTGTTATATCATTTATTGTAAATTTATTAGCAAGATATAGTTTTCTCTAAGTTAAAGACATTGGAATGGAATTAAACATATAATTCAACATATCTGAGGAATAATAGATATAGACTTATATTATTCAAATATATTAAAATTAGATTTAATTGGTTATACAGATACAAAATATTTATCTGATCCATATACACTTAATCCCAAACAAGTTATTTGTTCACAAATGGAAGTACCGCTATTTCATGACATTTTTGTAAAACAAACTAAAGTTGCTACTTCTTTTAACCATGTAGAAGTTTTAGCAATTCATAAAGCAAGTTGTAAATATGTTTGGTTAAGATCTGTAATTTAATATATTTAAGAAATGTGTGGCTTATCAACTAAAAAAAAAATCCCAATGACGTTATATGAGGATAATACTATTTGCATAGCAGAGTTAACGAAAGGATACATTAAAGGTGATAAAACAAGTCATATTTCGTCAAAATTCTTCTTCATACATGTTCTCTAAGAAAAAGGGTGATGTTAGTGTTTAACAAATTTAGTCAAGTAACAATCTAGTAGATTTATTCACTGATGTCATTCTTTTTACAACATTTGATAAGTTAATACAAAAGATTAGAATGCATCATTTTAAAGATATATATAATGTAGTTATCAAGGGAGTAAAATATGCACTATACTCTTTTCTTTCATCAACATTTTTTTTACCGACTTTTTCTTGATAAGGTTTTTAATAAAGTAATATTTCAAAAGCGTATTTTTGAAAAGAATTATGTTCTCTTTTTCTTTCACTCGGATTTTTTCCTATGAGGTTTTTTTCCTAATAAAGTTTTAATGAGACATATTCTTAATACAATAAACATTCAAGTAAAAATGTTATGAATAAATGTATGAATGTCCATTATGTTATGACTTAAGAAGTGCAAACTAAGTCAAACATCACAATAAGCAAGATACAAAAAATATAATATGATTTAAATTCTCAGATAGAAATAGATTAGGATTATAATTCAAAAGCTTGTGGGCTTATAATAAGACCTCTCACTTTATTTGTAAAGACACACTCGAGTAAAATTTCTTTACTCCATCTAAATATTTTCTTTTCTCTTTAAATATTTTCTCTTATAATTATTCTCTTAATATTTATTTCATAATAATCAATAAATAATACTTTTTTTTTCAAATTGCATATATATTTTTATTGCATTTTAAAATTATATTTACTCTTTTTTAACAACTAAAGTTACTTTTTAGTACTTTCCTTTTACATTTTAAAATTAAAAATCTTATTATCGTTTTACCAATGTTATAAATTTTTCAAAAATATAGTAAAACACTCCAAGTCACTTGTAAGTCAAAAATAAATCTATATAACTTTTAATAATAATTTTTTACTTTTTGATATTAAAAATACTATATTTATCAATATTATAAAATAATTTACTTGAGCATGATTTTTCAAACTTGAGTTGAGTTCAAAATACTATTTTTTTTTTGAGAAAAATAAAATTCAAACTCATACTCTTTAAATAGAAAACTTATGTACTAATCAATGAATTAAATACTCAAACGTAAAACTCTATTATATTGATAAATATTATTTTTATTTAATTTCAATTTTAAAATATATTTAAGAATATTAAAATTAATAACAAATTCAATTAAAATAAGTAGGCCAAACTCTAATTCATGGGTAAACTTTAAAAGATATCAACCAAACCCAACTTAACCCGACGTATGGACTCATGTACCTGAGATGGACATGGACATTGGAACAAAGTTCCATAAGACCCAAACCGGCCTGCATAATACTAGAGCAAAGTACATAAACAAAATAATTGAGCTACAAACTAAAGATTACCAGGAAGAAGGAAAAATGAAGAAGCAATTAAGCAGACAAGGTGCAATTTTTTTGATAAAAAAGATTCTCATCCATTGATAAAAGCCATCCGATGTCTACATACCAAGTGAAGTCCATTTTATGGTAAGTTGACTTAATCTTTATGCAGTTACTACAACGTAAACAAAAGATAATACAGCAATTTTATGTTCACCAAAGTTTGTAAAGTTCACCTGTAGTGTATAAGATAATAATACACGCACCAATCAGATAAACGCAAAGATGAGAATCGAAGGAGCAATTAAGATCAAGCACATTTCAGTAGCAACAAGGCAGCAGCAGCAGCAAAGTGAATAATTCATTGACGACCACTTCCACTAATAACATAATGGAGCCACCACTCCAATGCCGAGATCAGCGTCTCACCCACCAGCGACACACCCAATGAACAGAATAGTAGAAAACCAAATTCTTTTTCTCTTTCCCCCTTCCCATCATAGGCAAGTGAGAAAGGTGAGAGTGTAAAGGAAGATAGGGTTGAAGATCAAAGAGCAAAAATGAGAGGAGAAAGAGATCACGGGAAAATGGTGGTTGAAGATTTAACTAAGAAATCCTGAAAAGAAACGAGATCAAAAGGTGAACAAGAAGAAGAAGCTAAACTACTATTTGAAGATATGTCAAAAAGTAGCCATGTACTGCACTCAGATCAAAGCAGAAAGAATGGACCAAGCACCACAAGCTGTGCTAGCAAATAAAACATAGCACGTATTGTCAATTGAGAAAGAACACGTACTTACTGCATCAGGGGCACAGCTCCCAATGATACTTTAACTTCCTGTTCTTGTTCACACTTCTTATCCTTGTCACTTATTATCTTCCCACATAAAGCATCATTCTGCACCTTGAGGACTTTATTTTCAATTCTCAGTCTTGCATTCTCATCCTCAAGCTGTGATAAGTTATTATTAAGATTGGCATTCTTCCTCAGTGAAGCGTTTTCATCTTTTAGCTTCTCATTTTCGATACGCAGTGGATCGGCCTACAATGAAAACTACAGATTTAAAAATATATACCAGCATATTTAAACTCAAACACGTATGAGAGCATCGAATGTTGTCTTTTTGGAATGAGCTTACAGCAATAAAAGCTCAAAATCATTTTAACTAAAGTTTATTAACAAAGCCCATATGAAATCAATAATAAATTATTATGAACAATTAGTTAATAAAAATAAGTTTTTATACATAACACCTACATGAGTTTATAAAAAAAAAAAACTATATATTTTGCATCTGAGCTACAAACAAATTCTCGATTTGATATCTAAAATTTAAAAATCAATAAAAGCAAAATACCCTAACCCCTTAAGTTTTGACCATAATTCAACAAGGGTCCATTAGTATTTGAAATTGATAGTCCATTGATGTGTGCATCAAATACATATATTTAATGTGATATTAAATACCTAACTCAATGTTTCAAAAATAACAAGCTTATGGGATTTTGAAAGCTAGGGCTTTTAGAGGTTATTTAACGGGTTTTTTTCAAAAGTTTCAGGGAAGAGACAACAAATAATTTCTTTGGAGAAAAAAAGCAAAAAACAAAGCAATAAAGTAAAAGAATTGAAGGGAAAATCAAGATCACAAAGATTCAACTATTAGTTTTCTCTCTCTACTTTTGTGTTTTTCTTATTTTCTTTGACTTGAATTAATAGTTAATTTTCTTTGGATGAAGTTTTTATTAAATATTATGAACTAAACAATTTTTTTAAGATTACAATTGAACTCACATGTAATCTGAATTTTTAATCTCTTTCTTACTTATTTTCAATGAAATTGGATTGTTTATTCCAATTTATTCTTAATATTGTTAATTACTTGGCCATCAATTAAATTGATTTAAGAAATTAAACAAACTTGAAAAAAGTGATTTTGTATAGACTAAAATTTGTATAGAATATGATCATATTGATTGATTTGTGTATAGGATAAAGATATACGTCTATACCATATCTAGTCAAAATTAGAGATTGAACTTAATGAATATGTTTTAATTTCAATTCACATAAAGATATAATATTTTGATTAAAATAGATATTTTTATAAGACGGATCGAGAGAGACCTTTATAAATAATTGAGGACCCTTACAAATAATTTTTCATCCAACAATCCTATAGCTGTTTATATTTATTTATGTTTCTAAATTGTAAATTTTTTTGAGCAGCTATTTTCTTGGTATGGGCATATATTCCTGGACCTCTTGAAGGATCTTTTAGTATTCTACCAGGCCAACAACATTTCTTGTGCTAACTCAATGTTGTGTGATAATGTTTTTTAGAATCCCCTATACTCACCCTTCTCTGTTTCAGTGGAATTAGATTAAATGTATCGGAAAAAAGTGGTGGTCTTAATGCACGATCTTAGTTTAGCGGTAGCTTTTTTACACATTTGGTGGCTTAGTGTTTGAAAAATGATTGGAGTTCAAAAATTTTACTGAAAATATATTCAGTTTAGATCTTAGCATTTTATGATAATGGAAACAAAGGGATAATAGATTGTTGGATGCTATATGATACCTTAGCTCAAGAAATAGGCTGCTAAGATTTTCACAATAATTTTGAAAATATCTAAAACTCATATTGAATAGGGCACTTAGGGGAACCATGTACCTCTTGAAGTCCCATGCCTTGCTAATGCATGGACAGTAGGTTTGTTCTGTTTTTCAAACATCTTGCTCATTAATGTATATTAACAATTTTTTTTACATTTTGTAACAAATGTTATTTGTAGATATGTCGAATATTTAATCGTTAGGATTGTTGTCTTTTTTTCAGACAGCATCTTGCTTATTGATGAATGCAGAATAATTTTCGTACATATTATGATAGTTTTTGTGCATTTATTGACAAATTCTACAAATGTCAAAAATTAACCACAAAATTATATCAATAACAACATTCATAATTTTTCTTATTGATTTAAATTTTCAACCTCAAGTGTATATAAAATTTTGCAAACCCACTGCGTAGCGTGGGTATTCCTCTAGTTTAAAGTTAAACCATTCTTATGATCCGATAAAAAAAAGTTAAACCATACTAATAACCACTAGTACCTTAGGATGAGTACTTCAAAAGGCAATATATTTGTTCACTATTTTAAGCAATCAGGAGAATAGCCATTATATTCTGCAAGTAAAATGAAAAGAAAATCGCTAAAGTAGTATATAAGCCACTAAACTTTTTCAATTTTATTAAATAAGCTCCTATTCTTTTATTTGTATCCAAATACGATCTTATCTTATGCTTTATACCTCGATAAGTCCTTATGTTAAGAAAAATATATCATATGCATCCTGTGACCTTAACAGCCGTATACCCGTAGCATCTTTTGCACATGCGGACACTGATGTGGCTTTTCTAACGTGGCTGAATTAGCTAAGTGAAAAACTATCCAGCTTGAGACATGATCATTCTAGTCAGCTAATTTTGCCACATTACAAAGCACCACGTCATCTGCAATGAGTGCAAAGGATGCCAGCTGAGTATGAGCCTAACAATGCAAAGGTTACATGTGTCACATGACATTTTTTTGTTGTCATAAAGACTTATTTCAATAAAAATCATAGAATAGTTTATTTGGGTACAATAAAAAGATAAAAAGCTGATAAAAGAATTTTGGATAGTTTAGAGGCTTATTTAGCATTTCACCCCAAAAAAAAATTACATATAAAGGAAGAGTCAAGAGAAAGAGAGACTTACCAAAAGCCCTGAAAGTGTTTGCACAAGAACGTTTTGTTTCCCATACTCACTCTTCAGCTGAGAAAGATTATTCCTCAACTGGTCAATCTCTTTTGCTTGATCTCCCAAAGTTTGATTCATCATTGCATTATCCGCTTTTAAAGATCCATTCTCCTTCTTCAAAGAATTATTTTCTTCCATAAGCATCTCCAAATTCGATACCATTTCCACTTTGACTTTCTGAGTAGAAAGGAAAGCAAGCATAAAGACATATCATTCATGACTCATACAACCCATCCTTGCTCCCCAATCCTCAAAAAGAGAAAGAGGAACATAATTGTTATGTATGTTGAAATTCTACAAATAAAACTTCCTTTTCAATCTCTCACTAGCATCTCTAAACACTAATGCTCAATCTCTCAACCTACTCTGGAAGGAACAACAATAAAAGTTGGAGTGCCATGACAGATAAGTCATGAAAGATTATATTTTTTTAATAATCAAATTATTAATAAGTTCAAATTTCGGCAGGTTGCCAGGTTTCATATTCTATTTTCGGCAATATACGAAAACCAGAAAGAAAAGTGAATGAAACTCAATTTTATCTAATAAATACAAATAAAGAACCGAGACATTGAATCTCAGAATTTTTTTCCCCATAATTAAAATTAGCATAATTCAATAATAAAAGACCAACTTGACTCTTTTTTCCCTTTTATTCCTAAGGCATTTCCCACTAGTCTAACATTCAGCAAAGAATGAAGAGAAATGAGAAAGAGAAGAGATGGTATCCTCACCTTACATCTTTCCCGATATTTCTTGTCAGTTTTTCTTTTCCTATCTCTCTCTGGTTCAGATAATTTTGAATAGTTTCGTTTCAAAAGAGAAGCGTTGGAATTGTTTGTAGCTTGAGATGCTTGGGAAGTGCTTACACTAGTCTGGATTAGGATATTTTCAGGTTGATTATTGCTTGGAGGCCAGAAGGGGTTCGAAAAAGGCAATAATTCCATTTGTTGCTGCTGAAAGGTCGAACTCCAATCCTGAAAATGCGAAATATTTTAACTCAAAAATGATCATCTACAGAATCAAATAGAGTAATAGCTTCAATTTCTGTATTCCATTCTGAAAATAAAAATCACCCACAGCCACAAACCCCGGAATATATTGGAAAAAGATGAAGATTATTAAGTCCACAGATCCATCTATAACATGAAAAAAGGAGTAGGCAAGAGGAAAAACCCCCCAAAAGAGCGGATCCGTGATCTAACAAAGCAAAACAATCTGTTCTTACAAAGTCAACGACCATTTAATCTGTGGGTTAAACTTAAAAGAAAGAAGATATATACAAAAAGCATCCTTTTTATTCTGATGAGAAACGCTTACATCTTCATCACCATGAGAGCAGGTTTCACTGGGGCGCTTCTGGGAGAGGGCTGACTCGTTCATTGCCCGGGTAAACGCAGAAAACAACTCCTCGTCCATGGATTGTTTTAGCAATAAAGAAGCATCTATGGCAGCTAACCCATTCCCATATATACTAGTAACCAAGATAATTGGCTCGGAGGTGAGACGCGCGACAGAAAAAGCGAGTCAATAAGAGAGCCCAAACTCCAAAGATGGCCCGCCCCACAGTCAGAGTCGCGCGATGCACAATTGTATCCACAACGCAAGGGACCGCGCGATGTTTTGTACTTGCAAGCGTGCAATTCTTATTATGTCTCACGATCCCCGCGTTAATAAAAGATTAATGGTATGTTTGGTTTGAATTATTTTTTAATTTAAAAGTTATTATAAACTTATTATAAAAAATAATAATTTTTAAAATTAAGTTAAAATTATTTGATAAATTTAAGATATAAGTTTTTTTAATAAATAAATTATTTAGTAAAATAATTTATATAAATTATAATTTTAATTAAAATTATCATAAAAGTTATTTATTAATTACGAATATTTTTATTCAAAATAAAAATAATTAACTTTATTTTTTATCTATTTAAAATAAATTTTTAAAAAATATAAAAAAATTATATAACATAAAATTTATAATTAATAATAAATCATAAAAAAAGAGATAACAGAAAACAGTGAATCGACTATTAAAATCTTTAATTATAACTATAGAGGAGAATCCAAAAAAGAAGAAAAGAAGTATAAGGTGATAGTAATAAATTAGGGAAACCACGTCTTGATGTTATTACCAACAAAGTTCACTTTTATGAATAATATTATCTCAATAATTATAATTAACAAGTATTATCTCAATTTTCATGTAATTTATCTCAAGAATCATTGACTTATTTGATTAATTATTTCAATCATAATCATCAAATATTATATACATCATAAAAAAATTAATAATAAATAAACATTATATAATTATTATATCAAACAATAAACTGAGAAATATCAATTAATAAAAAAAATTTTAAAATTTAAAAAAAATAAAAAATAAAATAAAAAACAAAATAGAAAGAAAAAAAAAATACTTGAATGTAGTTTTAAATTTTAAATTTCTTTTAATTTTTGTAAAAATAGAAATAAACTCTGATAATTTGCAGAAAGAAGAGAGGAGAGGAGATTGATAGGGAGAGAGAAAGAGAGTATTTTTTGAGAAATGATCTTTTTGAGAAAAAATAGTTTCCTTAATAAGCTGGTATGTTTTTTTTTTTAAAAAAGAAAAAGCTCTTAATTTGAGTTTTTTTAAAAAAAATTTATTTTTTAAAAAAATTATTTTTTAATAGCTTTTCACAAAATCTTGTTTTGTTTAACTTTTAAGCTAAAAATAAACAAGGCCAAATTAGTACTAAGTTGACTTTTGGTTTATAAATACTAGCTTTTTGTTATGTAAATATCTCCATAGGCTGAAAATATAAATCAATAACAAGTGATATCAAATAGAGTAGAATTAAAGTGAAGGATATAAGAGTCGGGATAGACTTGAATTATTCTAAAAATTTACTTTTTTATAAATAAAGGGTTATTGAAATAAAAGTGTTATATAGTTAAATTTGATAAAATATCATGAATTTCTTGTCATTAAAAGATGATATGAATTTTGGATATATAAAAATAAATCTTTCTTTATTTAATCATGTTTTTTGAATTGAAAATATAAGCATGTAACACTATATGTCCGATATATTACGCTTTCTTTTCAACTTTCTTCCGTAGTTTTAGTTTTTTTCTCTCAAGAAAAATTTTTAATTAAAAAATATTATATATGTATCACTTTAATTATTCTCCCATCTCTTTGTTGCGATGCTTTAAATTATTCATCATTTTAACATATATTTTGAAAAAATATTATTATAACTTTTCATAAAATTTCTAACATGATTTATTTACTTAACAAATTAATGAACATCATTTATTTTAAGTCACAAATATAATATAATCATTTTAAACATTTGATTCATTAGTTAGTACATGATTTCTCTATTTAAAAAATAAAATTAAAAAATCTCTTTTTTTAATTTTAAAATATATAATATAAATAAACAAAAAAAAACATCATATTTCATAAATAGATAAAACACTTTTTTTTTTAATTGGATTCGAATATTAAACTTAAATCAAGCTCTGTGAATAAATAAAATGGAATTTGGGCCAAACCAAGTGAGTCAACCCACCAACAGTCCGCTCCCATTTTCTTCTCTTTTAAATGCCTCAATTTGTTTATGTAATAAACAAAGATCACATGTTAGTTCAAATATACTCATACCCTAATTTATGAGATTGACTATTTGCTTCGTAGTGAAGAATATAATCACCGTGTCGATCTTTGATCTTTATCAATATCCAATTCTGTTTTTCACAAAAAAAAAAAAAGCAAACAATTTCATTTCAATTTGCTAAAGTAAGACAATTGCAGTAGGTGGATTACAAAAATTAACCAACCTGCATAAACACCTGCAGCACACAAAAAATTTGTAGAACAAGAACTCCTAGACAATACCCAGCAAGCCCACATATTCCAAGTTCACTTAAAATTAAACAAGAAGAAACAAAAATCAGTACAAATCCTCCCTTGGAATTTATGAACAGGCGTAACCCCAAAAATACAGCCCGTATAAGTCATTACCCTTCATAGTTTTCATCACCAACCTTTTCAAACCCAATCTGGTGCATACCTTCACAATCTTTAGACTCTCCCCTTTGCTAGTAAGTTAGCCTCCACATTAGCAAACCGAATCACATGCTCAATTTCCCAATCTCTCACGTTTGCAAGAACTTGTGAATCTGAATATCTCCTTTCTTATTCTTCATCAGACTTCTTTCAAAATACGCACCGGCTTAACCATGTTGGATGGAACACTTTCAAAGAAGAGCTTATGAGATGTTACCCAAACCGAGGCAGTTAAAATGAGGACAGTTCCTTTAGCAAGCTAGCAACTTAACGAAGTTAGAATTTATGAGTTTCTAAGAATGCCTCCAATTCTAGCTTCAAATATATATATATATATATATATATATATATTAATTTGTGCGTATTATTCTAAATATGGTTTCATTATTTCACAAAAAAAGGGAAAAAAAACATTTTAAGCTTAATATTAAGTAAGACTTTTACCCCTTAAGCTGAAAATCATAATTCTACCTTGGATCACCAAATAATTAATTACAAGTGATAAGAATAAATTGGATTTGGATAGAGATTATAAATTTAAAATTTCACACACACACATACACAGACTATCTTGTTTTCTTTGTTCATCCTTTTTTCCTTTTGTTCCAAAATTATTTTTTTTTCTTATTTAAACACATAATACACTCGCATTTTATCTTTCAAAACTACTTTTTATATTAAAAATTACATGGTATCAATTTCACAAAAAAATTAAAGATTAATAATATGACAAAAAATAATTTTTTTGTTTTCTTAAATTCTATGAAAATCAAATAGAAACAACAAATATGAGATAAAAGGGAGTACATAAAAGTTATTAGCGATGTATTTAAAGTTCCCATACAAGGTCTTGGAAGTTTAAAAACACACGAGAATTTGACCCTCTTGACTTTAAATGACATTAATTTTAATCAATTTTGGAGGACCATTCAAGAGAACTATTTTTCCTTTTTGTAGAAGTAAAGAAAGAATTCGGGAGAACTAATTTAAAAATAACATATAATTTTTTAAATTTATAAGACAACTATCCTATCTAAAACTAATTTGCAATAAGTTGAATGACTCTTATAAATATATTTATGTGTTTAGAAATGAGAATTCATGTTAGCAGATTTTAATCATGTCATGTAAAACATAATTAACACATTTAAATAAGATAAATCCCATTTGGACATGACACAATTAATCTATTTAGACATGATTAATATATTTAAATATGAATAATAAGTTTTTTTATGTATTTTAAATATTGATAATTCAATAAATAAACTTACACGGATTAGATATATTGATTAATGTGAGTTTGTCTATTAATATAATATTGATTAAACATGTATAAATGTGTCCTATAGAATATGAATATTTTCATGGCATAAATGGGTTGATGTAATTATGACACAAACACAATTATACAAAACCAAAACTTGCTTAATACCATATTGTATTCATGTCATATTAGCAAGTTGTACCCCAAATTACTTGAGTCTATAATGTGCCTAAACCAACTCACAATAGGTGACACGACCTTTATTATATTTATGTGTTTAAGATATCTCCAATTTAAGTGATGTGTGATTTAATTTATTACTATTTTAATACTCTTCCTCACATGTAGGGATAATGGATTTATCGTGTGACATTAACTTCAAGTTTAAAGAAGATGGGCTTATTTTTTGAGATGAGCATCACATGTAGGGTTAACAAACCGATTACAAAAAGGGTAATGAGCAGGGCACATTGTTGTTTGCTTTGATACGATATTAAATTCATAGAACAAACATCAAATTTAACACCAATGGACAATAAGTGAAAATATTCTTATTGTATTTAAGTGTTAAGATACTCTTAGTTTAACTGATGTGAAATTTATTTTTATCATCACCCTAATACCCAACATACCCAATACCCGAATCTTAACTAATGTGAGATCTATATTTATCACTATTTTACTATTCACCCTCACATCTAAAATAATAGACCTATCACAAAGTGACCTTCATGCGTGCGGACGATGCACCTATCTTGCAACATGGACTTCACACGTAGGGTAACAAACTTATCACGGAATGGTCAATGAACAGGAGTAGTGCTTGCTATGATACTATATTAAATTTATTAGACCAAGCACCAACCTAAAAGCAATTGGCCATATAAATGGAGTGGTTTTTGTTATATTTATGTGGTCTTCAACTTAACTGATGTAAGATTCAATTTATCACCACTTTATAGCCTTTGTCGTAAATTGTTTGTCTTGTTTGACTTTTACAAAATTGCAACTCCGCATATGGGTAGCCAAATAAAAAAATATTTAAGTATAAAAAAGAGAATTAAGTATACCATAATAAAAGTGAAAATAATTTTAAGACATTTTAAAAATTTGTACAAAATAAATGAGAGAAAGGGAGTTCATCTTAAAAATTATAAAAACATTTGGCATGGCCTTTCTAGTCTTTGTTGATATTTGAATATAGTATAGCCTGACGGCCATACAAAATTCTAAATCAAC